AAGACTGTATGAACATCAACAACATGAGTAACAACAGAATCACAGACAGCCGAAAACACCTCCTCCAGTGTCCTTCCAACACCTTCTAATGGGAAAACTTAACATTGTGCTTATTGTGAAGGAGAGATTCTGAAACAATTCACCCCATTATCAAAGAGCATGTTTTGAAGGGTGAATTCATAGCTGAGAGACAATATTTGATACCTGCCACAAACTTTAATAGGAATTTGACCAAAGAGAAAGTGCACGTGGCCTAAAAATATACACAAAAATGCTCAACCTCATGGGTTGTCAGGGAAATTCAATGAGACACTTCCATACACACTTCATATTGGTAAAAATGTAAAAGTCTGACTATTCTAATTATAGGTTATGTTGTAAAGCAAGAGCTCTCATATAATACTGATGCATGAATGTAAATTGCTGCATACACTGCTGATGTACCTAGGTAAGCATGTCAATAGATACAACTACTTTGGAAAATAGTAAGCCATGACCTAGTAAAGCTTCACATACATATGCCCTATGAGAAGGAAATTCATTGTGAAGTAGGTACCCCAGAAATATGTGTGCTTAGGTGCACCAAGGTACATGAGTGAGAATTTTTCAAAGCATCTGTGCTTATAATTGAGAAAAATAAGAATAAATGCAAATGTCCATTAATTGTAGATTCGATAAATTGTGTAATTTTCACACAGTGAAATTTTGTGCAGCAATGAAAATCAATAAATTAGAGATGTATAGAACAAAATAGATACTTTTATAATGTTGAGTGGAAATGCTGGACATAAAAGAATGTGTACAATAGATGATTCCATTTATATAAAATTCCATATCAAGTAGGCACTTTTTTGCTATATTTTATAATAACATTTTAAATATATATAATGTCACAGTTTAATTGATATACATAAAAATGATATCCACAAAATACCTGGCACAGTACCAAGAATAGATATTTGGTCAATTAATATTTTCTGAATCAATGGATGAAATTTTAAAAATTAATAAAAGAAAGCTTTAGTTCTTTTGGAGTTCATGTTACTGGGCAAGAAGGGGTATATCTTGTACCAATTTATGTCTCCAGTTCGGGTCTCTCTTCTAAATCACAAACTCTTAAATTTCTTCTTGTGTGTCTCAAAAGAACTTCAAATGCATTGCCTCTAAAATCTAAATCATGCTCTTCTTCCCTTCCTTGTCCATACTCCAATCCCAGCAAACCCCATACTAAAGAAGGAGCCACCACATAACCAGTTGTGTAATCTAGAAATACTGGAGTCATTCTTGGCACTAACCTGTACCTTAACCCTCAGTCAGTCCATTACCAAGTGGAGTTCTGGTGGTGCAGTGGTTAAGAGCACAGCTGCTAACCAAAAGGTTGGTGGTTTGAATCCACTAGTCACTCCTTGGAAACCCTATGAGGCAGTTCTACTCTGTCCTGTAAGATCACTATGAGTGAGAATTGACTCAAAGGCAACAGGTTTGGGTTATTTATTTATTTTTTTGGTCCATTTTAAAACCTACATATTCTCAAATCCATCTCCTCTTGTCATGGCCTTTGACCAAGCCACCAGTTAGATTCCTGAAATGGCTTCCTAACTGGTTTTGCATCTAGTCTCGCATCTCTCCAAAGTGTACTCCACTGAAACCAGGGTGATCTTTTTAAAAAGCAAATTTAATCATGTTATCTGCCTGCAAAACCTTCCAAATCTTTCCGTTATGTACAGCATAGACACTAAAGACACTTAAAGAGCCCTAACTGACCGGTCTCATACATGCATCTTTTACCTCAAATTTAATATTTTTTGTGGCATTCTTTAATCAATGTCTGCATCTCTTCCTCTTACAGTCTTGAGAACAAGGCTCAATCTTAAATTGGTTACCACCATTAATATAACACTAATACCCAGAAGAATATCTCATGTAGTAGATTCTCAATTAATATTCGTTTAATAAATGCATAATAAAAAAGATTAAAAAATGAAAATATCAAATCTATCAAGATCAGTTACATATATAACATAAACTTAACCAATATACTAATGAGTTTATTTTGCAACTCCAAAAATTAGAAATGTAAAATGGTTCGTATAACCATAAGTATTCAAGAGGAAGAAACTTTGATGAAGGTCTGACACTGTCAAATATGGAAGAATATTTTTTTATCAGTCAGAGCTTTTGGCTGCTGTCTTAGTAATCTAGTGCTGCTATAACAGAAATACCACAAGTGGATGGCTTTAAAAAAGAGAAATTTATTTCTTCACAGTAAAGTAGGCTAAAAGTCCAAATTCAGGGCGTCAGCTCCAGGGGAAGACTTTCTCTCTTTGTTGTCCTTCTCATCAATATTCCCCCCAGACTAGGAGCTGCTCCGCACAGGGACCTCAGGTCCGAAGGACACGCTCTGCTCCTGACACTGCTTTCTTGGTGGTATGAGGTCCCCCTGTCTCTCTGCTCACTTCTCTCTTTTGTATCTCGAGAGATTGCCTTAGGACACAATCCAATTTTGTAGACTGACTCCTGTCTTACTAACAGAAGTGCTGCCTATCCTCCCTCATTAACATCATAGAGGCAGGATTTATAACATACAGGAAAATCACACAATACTGGGAATCATGACTCAGCCAAATTGATACACATATTTTTTTTTGGTGGACATAATTCAATCCATGACAGTTGCAAACAACAGAAACCAACCGAGTCTAACCTAAGCAGAAAATGAAATGATTATCTGGTGACTTACAGATTTGATGGAAAGTCTAGGGAATACGGTATATAAAATGTATAGGAAACTAGCTGGCATAAACACAGTCCACAACAAACCAGAGAAAGTTATCGTAGATAACACCACCACCACAGCAGATAGACAGTGGATATTCCTACTGGCTCCACCATCACTGGACACCAGTCATAGGACATTGGAAATTGGAGGCCTCCCATTAGTACAATTTCCACATGAATAATTTCAATAAGTGCTCTTCAGGAATATGTTTCCATTCCTAGAAACTATAACCAACCAAAATCGAACTCTCTGTCACAGAGTTGTTGAAGTTGATACCAACTCATGGCAACCACATGTGTTGCAGAGCAGAAGTGAGATCCATAGGGTTTTCTGGGCTGTAATCGTCATGGAAGCAGATCAGTAGGCATTTCTTTTGCAGCACTACTGGGTGTGTTCCAATTGCCAACCTTTTGGTTAGTAGCTGAGTGCAAACTATTTGCACCATCCAGGGACCTTCAGCAACTATAACAGTGAAACTAAAATATAACTATTTCCATCAGAGAATCCAGGAAAATAGTATTTGCCATATTCAAATAGCACTGCAATATTCAAAATGTAAGAAGAGTAATAAAAGTGTACCTTACAAGATTTGTAACCACTACCCTGTGCTCTAAGAATTTCACTGTTATACTCCATGGTTCTTTGCATAAATGTCCCCTTGCCCACACCCACCCTGAGGTCAGCCTTGCTGGCCTGAGCCTCATAAAAAGCTCTAAAAGATAGAAACTGTTAAATCAGTGAATGTTTTGCTGCATATATTGTCAATAACAACAACAAAATAAAAAAATTGAAAAAAATAAAGCTATGAAAGAGCCTTTCCTGGGGGATAGAGTATGAGCAACATCATACAAGAGAGAAGCTAGGACAGGGGCACCATCCAGATCCTCAGGTTCCTGCTCTGCTGTGTTCCAGGTAAGATGGAACCTAGAGATATAGTCTTCTCTCCAGAGTGATCCTCCTATTCAGATAGGTCTAAAATTTGAAATGAGAGATGAAATAAATGCCACAAGCCACAAAGTCCTGTCCAATTGTCCCAGTTAGAGATCATTTTGGTTTGATTTTCCTTCTGTCCCTGATTGTACAGCATCTCTGGAACACCCTCCTGCGTCTGTCATCTTAAGTTCCAGGGGGCAGATCCTGCTCAGGTGCCAGAATCTCTAGCTGTCTCCCAAAAAAGAAAGTCTCCATTAGATGCAGGACCAGTCAGAGTCTCCTCTACACTGACTGGAAACACTACTTGGGCTGGCCTCAACAGAAACCTGAGCAGGGTCCTAAGGGCCTCTATGCATGTTGTTGTGATATTGAACAGGTTTTAGCAACACTTTCAGACTAATACAGACCAGAAGGAAAGGTCTGGTGATCTACTTCTCAAAAATCAGCCAGTGAAAACCCTATGGATCACAACAGTCAGATCGGATTGTGCATGGGGTTGTCATGAGTCAGGGGCTGACAAGATGGCAGCTAACAACAAGGAAGAACCATTATTTCCTTCAGTCACTAAACTTGGGTGCCCAAGGGATCAATTTAAAGAGGAAATTGACAACTAATGAGAAAAAACAACATGGGAAAGCTCTCATATATTTCTAGAGGGATAGGATTACTGAATTAGAGACTGGCCTTTGTGAGAATGAGTGCCACTGAAAGAAATGGAGAGAGGAGAAAAGGCAGTAAAATGGGAGGTAGAGCAGGAAACTCCTTCAGTGACATTGACCGGGAAGGCTTGGCTGGAAAACAGGATAGATGGAAGGAAAACGTAAGAGAGGAATACTACCTTCTATAGGGGAGATATTAAATATGGAGGGCCCAGGGTTAATATTGGGTTAGGTTCAGAACTGTGAGGGTAAACTGCAGAGAAAGGAAAAGTTCAAAAAACAAGGAATTAAAATGGGAATATTCCAGAGTTAAGAAGTCACAGGGAAGTTAGAACTGCTATTTCAGGGTGAATAACACAGGGGAACCTTGCCCAAATCAGTTATGCAATCTATCCACATCACAGGTTCCTGTGAAATCAAAACTCCTGACAAAGTTTATATTACATTTTTACAGAATTTTACTTCTACACTTTACCACAAAAGGGGCTCCAGAAGAGGCCACATTCCTTAATTTACTCCTGGGTCCTACAAATACTCCAAGGAATTAGTCAAGAGTTGTGGACTATGGGACAGACAGAGGACGAGTGCATGTTCAGGGCTGAGCAGAAAGGAAGCAGCTGGTGCAGTGATCACTCTCTGGCCTGTAGCCCTGGGGAGGAGGTTTGTGTTCCAGGCTGAAGCACTTTGGGTGGAGTGCTGTAACTATGCTGACAGTAATAAACTGTGGCATCTTCAGCCTGGAGGCTGCTGTTGGTGAGAGTGAAGTCTGTCCCAGACCCACTGCCACTGAACTGGTCAGGGACCCCAGATGCCCGGTTAGATGCAGCGTAGATGAGCAGCTTAGGAGCCTGTCCTGGTTTCTGCTGATACCAGTATAAATAATAGCTGCTCACACTCTGGCTGGACTTGCAGTTGATGGTGGCCGTTTCTCCTGGAGACACAGCCAGAGAGGCTGGAGACTGAGTCATCACAGTGTCCCCACTGGAGTCTGCAATCAGAGTGGACAATTACCATTCACACATATATACACACACTTTTTCATAGGCATATTGAAATATACCTTTTATACAACAGCATCTAGCGATATTACATATCTGCACATAATTGGTTCCATTTTGGAAATAACCATCATTTCCCACTATATCTTAAAATCATTTTTCAGCTCTACAAAGATACTACTCTAGAGGGATTGAAGCACTTTTAATTTCTTACCAGAGGCCCAGAGCAACAGGGACATGAGGAACAGAGTCTGTGGCACCATCTTGCTGCCCCTGCCTGCCTGATGCTGATCAGTTCACATTGCAAAGGTCCCATTTATAAAATTTGAGCCTGGAGTGTCTATGCAAAGCATCAGTGAGCTGAAAGTAAATTGTATGGACGATTGGTTGTGAAACTAACCAATGTACATCAAGAGCCAAAAATAGTATCACAGAAAGTATAATTTTATGACTAGAAATGGCACAAAAGTAACTTAGAAGCTCTAATATCAACTTAAAAAAAAAAGACTTTTGCAGTCCAGTTGATTCCAATTCATGGAGAACCCATGTATTACAGCGTAGAACTGCTCCATAAGGTTTTCTTGCCTGTATTTATTATAGAGCAGATTACCAGACTTTTCTTCCATGATATCACTGGGTATGTTTAAATTGCCAACCTTTGGATTAGCAACTGATCACAGATGGCTTCATGCACCCATTAATGAATAACCTCTGTTTTAACTCAAAAACTCTTTCAAATGGGTTCAGGTTCTGTAAATTATGTACTCATTTCCTCAAATCAACAGCTTTTTGAAATAATTAAGAAATTCTGGAAAAAAAATAATAAAGGAGATGGAAAAACGTGAAATTTTTGCTTCAGTTTTTGATAAAAATTTATAGCTAGATAATGTCTGAGCTCTAAAGAAGCTTTTATCCTGAAGGATACTTTGAAGACACTGCAAACACATAAGATTGCATTCCAGGGCTATGCAAGGGCCCAAGAAATGGAAGAAAGGCCCATAGTTTACACGTGTGGAAAGTCCTCAGAAACGAATACTGAGCCTGGGCTCAGGAGAGCTCTAATCTCAAAGGAAGTGTGAACCAACGAGACAGTGTAACGTATCAGGCCCATAAAGGCTAGGAACTGTTAAGTGGGCTCTAGGTTCATTGCAGAAAGAGACAGGAAAAAACAAACAGGATTTCCTTGTGAAGTTGTGATTAAACACCAACCTTTCAAGGAGTTTCATTCCAGGTATGCGTGGCCTCAATGTGCCTGTAACTCTTCTATCTTGAAGTGGATTATGGTAGCCCAACTGGTAGGGCCAAAAAACGGGAGCTCCTATGGAAGAGGACACAGCCATCATAAATCTTCAGGAAACCTCACAAATAATTTTTCAAGAGATAAAGACACCAAGAAGTCAGAGATTCTTGACCTCTAAGAAAATAAGATAACTGGAATAATCTTGCTTGCTGAAAGCGCAGAGGATTTGAAGCACTTACTGATGAAGATAAAAAACTACAGTCTTCAGTATGGGTTTCACCTAAACATAAAAACAAAATAAAATAAAAAAAATCACAACTGCACTAATAAACAACATCATGATAAGCAGAAAAAATATTGACGTTTTCAAGGATTTCATTTTCCTTGGATCCACAGTCAACAATCAGGGAAGCACTGGTCAAGAAATCAAACAACATATTGCATTCAGCAAATTTGCTGCAAAAGACCTCTTTAAAATGTTAAAAAGCAAAGATGTCACTTTAAACACTAAAGTGCGCCTGACCCAAGCTGTAGTATTTTCAATCCCCTCATATGCATGTGCATGCTGAACAGTGAATAAAGAAGACCAAAGAAGAATTTATGCCTTTGAATTATGGTGTTGAATGTACCATGGACTAACAGAAGAACAAATAAATTTGACTTGTTGGAAGTACAGCCAGAATGCACCTTAGAAGTCAGATTGGGGAGACTTTGTCTCTCTTACTGTGGACCTGTTATCAGGAGGGACCAGTCCCTGGAGAAGGACATCATGCTTGATATAGTAGAGGGTCAGTAAAAAAGAAAAAGAGCCTCAATGAGATAGATTGACACAGTGGCTGCAACAATAGGCTCAAATATACCAAAGGTTGTGAGGATGGTGCAGCACTAGGGAGTGTTTCCTTCTATTGAACATAGGGTTGCTATGAGTTAAAACGCATTTATGGCACCTTACAACAACAGGATACAAATACAAATGTGATGCAATAGAAATAACAGAAAACAAAAGAAGTTCCACTCAAAGCTCAGATTTGGAAATTATATGAATTTATTAAAAGAAATAAATGACAAACTTGATATTTCATACAGGGTACCGGAAACTAAAAAGAGGACACTTCAGATTTGAAAAAGAACTAATTGAATTTCCGGAAATTAGAAATAGAATTGCCAATATTTTAAAACTTAGTGTAATAGAGACTTCCACTTGAAGGCTAGATGGAATAACACGGACAAGGTTTACCCTAACATATGAAACAAACAACAACAACAACAAAAATTAATTAAAAATTATATTTAATGTTTAACTCACTCAGCTCATAATCCACCAAAAAATGGCCTCAAAAAAAAAAAAAAGCCTGGAAATGTACTTCCGAAAATCAGCCATTGAAAACTCTACAGATCACAGTTCTACTGTGACACACACAGGGTCACCATGAGTCGGAATCAACTCAACAGAAAATGATTTTTAATCTTACAGAAGTAGATCGCCAGGACTTTCTTCCACTAGAGGATTTGAACTGCTAACCTTTCGGTTAGTAGTCGATCACAAAACATTTGCCTCACATCACTAGCTAAATCATAGCTTTGGGCAGAAAATCCAAGATAATAGGTTTCCATTACTGTTGGATTCCAAAAGTAAGTCAGACAATACATGAATTTTTACCACAACCTTGTGATCTAAGAATTTCACCATCATACTTTTTGGCTCTTGGCATAAATGTCTCCTTGTCACCACCTTACCTTGTCCTCAGCCCTGCTGATCTGAGGCTCATAAATGTAGCCTTTTCTGGGGGGTGGAACCTGAGAAACTTCACACAAGAGAGAAGCTGCAGGATGGTGACACCATCCAAATCCTCAGGCTCTTGCTCTACTCTGTTCCAGGTGAGAGGATATTTGCAAACCTAGACATGGAGTTTTCTCTCCAGAATAATCCTTCCATTCACATCTATAATTTTAAAATGAATTTTGAAATAAATGACATAAGCAATACAGGCCTGTAAACCTATCACAGATAGACTATTTTGGTTTCTTCTGTCCTTGATTGCACAGAATCTCTGCATCATCCCCGTGTGCCTGTCATTGCAGGGTCTTGCCAGCAGATGGCGATGACACTGGCTCCAGAATTCCTGGCTGTCTCCCTGGGAGACTCTCCGTCAGCTGAAGGGCCAGTCAGAGTCTTCTCTACACTGATGTGAGACACCACTTAACCTGGGCAGACTCCTAAGGTCCTTATTTACCGCACTTCCACCCTCGTTGATGGGGTGCCCACCTGCTTCAGTGGCAGTGGATCTGAGGCTAACTTTTCTCTCACCATCAGCACCATCAGATCAAAGATAGTGCATACAAATTACTGTGTTCCAAAATCAAGATATCCTGTCATAATAATGTGACTCCAAATATAAACCTCTTACCGAGGCAGAGGTGGCAGAAGCGTCCCACTTCCTAGGCACTGTCATAGAGACAGCTGTGGTTTACTCGTTTGTTTTGATCATGCAAGAAAGTTGGCATGAAATAGTCAAAAAATCGGCAGCTGGACCTCCTCTGGCTCCAAAAGAGAGCAGCTCTCCTCTTCCTACTCACTTCCTTTAAATCTGCTCTCAGCCTTCACTTTGGGCTTCATTCCATGGTCATTTGCAGTCCCATCTGACCCTCTCTAATCTAACCTCAGTCATGACTCCCAAATGCCTTTACTGCTGCTCCGGAACAGAGCTTCCTCTCTAGGTCAAAGGATAGAGCCAGGATCCCCTGAGCACTCCTGTTCCTGCTTCCCCCACTCAAGTTTATGTCAGAGAAATCATGTCAAGAATGAGAAAATACTAGATCCCTGCTTGTGCTTATATAAAAGCAAAGCAAGTTATATTTTTCAAAATACATTGAACCAAAAAAGACTCCTAGTATAAAATTTAGGGAGAGAAAATAGGTTTCTTTTACCATAAGAAAAATTTTAAAATTTAGTATCTGCTCTTTTTGGTATTTACATGAGTTAGAATTATACCATTTTCTGAAAAGAAGATTCTAATAAATCTATTCTGGCTGTCTCTGAACCCCTCATGTTTCCATTTCCCTACTTGTTGTTACTGCCATCGAGTCGATTTTTGACTCATATCCATTTTAAATTTCAAGATTCTCCTCTGTAATAATGCGCTTACCAAACCAATATCTCCATGGCCCCTCCCTTATTTCATCACATTCATCTTGTAAAAATTAAAACCTGGGAAAACCCCCATCCTCCATATAACTGCCTCCCTTTCCATAACGTGGCTAGGGAAAAACACACAATTAGACAGATTCATCTCACCATAAATTTATGCACACTACCTCATGAGAGCCCTTCATCTTGCCTCACAATCATACTTCACTTACCTGGCTCCATTGTTTCTCTTTTCTTTTCTCTTCAAGTTTTAACATCTACTCATCCTACCTTTCAGCAAATTTCCTCATTTCCTGTTTCTTGGGAGAGTTTCCGCTAGTTCCTCTCCTGCATCTTCTAATCCACAGGCAACTACATCCCCGTATTCTGCCTTCCTCCTTCCTATTGGTATAGATGAACAGATAGCTCTTCTATCTGAGGTTAGTCCTTCTGTTCCTACACAGCTATCCCATCCAAGGGCATTTCCTGGCATTTCTCACACCTCTTTTCTGAACTATCAATGTTCCCCTTACTTTTGCATCATTCCCATCAGCATGAAAAATCATTTTTAAAAACTGTCTTGATTTCACATCTCTCTCCAGTTATGTCCTGTTTCACTCTTCTCCTTTAGCTTAAAGCTCATTGAAAGGCTTCTATATAATGACCAAAACCAAACCGTCTCTTTCCATACTCCCTTGGGCTCTCTTCTTTGAATTTATTAACCCCACGTTTTCATAGGAACTGCTCTACTTAGTCGTCAGTGACTTCCACACTGATAAATTCTATGATCACATTTCAGAACTCATCTTACCAGACCCATCAGCAGCATTAAACACATTTGTAACAACCTCCTCCTTAATACCATCTCTTCACTGAGCTCCTGGCATCACTCTTCTTGTCTTCTATCCACA